GGGGGTGGGCTCAGACCCAGGAGGGGTGGGGGCTGCTGGGAGAGGACCGAGATTCCCTCCCCTTCCCTTGAGTAGGGCCCAGGGTCTGCCCCCTGGGGAGGCAGCTCTCCCCAGGGCAGCGCCAGCAGCACACCCTTGTCCGGGTGGGCTTTCCGGATGCCCTCGGCAGTCTGGAAGGCATGGAAGGAGTTGGGGAAGTCCACGTCTGGGTCCGACTCGTCGACCAGCTCGTCCAGCAAGTCCACAGCCTCCAAGACAGTCATCTTCTTGTAGGAGAAGCCCCCGAACTGGGCATGCTGGGCGGGAAGGGCAATGTCAGCTTGACTTCCGGGGAGGACCAGCATTGTCCACAGGGGCAGGGGAGGGGCAGAACCACCATGGTCCCTCTCTGTCCACTCACGGGTGCCCTGCCCTCAGCAGCAGGACACACACCTTCCTCCTGACGAAGTCCACCGTCTGGTGCGTATGCATGAGCTTGTAGGTGGCAAAAACTCGGTCCAGAAGGGGCCCGGACTGCGAGCCGGAGAGTCAGTGAGGTTGGGCCTCCCCTGGCCCTGTGCTCTGGCCCCTGCCCCACCCCAGCCCAGGCTGAGCCCTGTAAGGTGTGAAGGGGGCTTTCCAGGGCATCCCCCAAGCTGTGGGGAGGGCAGGGGCTCTGCTCCCCGCGGCGACTGGGCTGGGCATCAGGACCAAGGGCTCCTCACAGTATAGTTTCGGAATCCGCCTTCCTCTGTGGCTGTCTGTGGGTCCACATCGGGTCTGTAGACAAGGGAAGGGTCTGGGCCCTGGTTGGACATCAAACCTGTTTTACCCTCTTGGTCCACGGAAAAGGAGACTGCTGGGGGCTAGACTCTGAGCTGCAGGTCTGCTCGAGCCCCAGGGTGCACACCTGAGGGCCCGCCTCCTTGCACAGCTTCGAGCAGCTTGAGCTCTCAGTCCCTGTGTCCTTACTGGCAAAGTGGGCATCAGCCGATGTTTCATGGGAGCTGGCAGCCCCACTGGGCACCCTAGGGCCGTCCCCACTGGGCACCCTAGGGCCATCCCCACTGGGCACCCTAGGGCAGTCCCCACTGGCACCCTAGGGCAGCCCCCACTGGGCACCCTGGGACACTCCCCGCTGGGCCCCCTGGGGCAGTCCCCGCTGGGCACCCTGGGACAGACCCCACTTGGCATCCTGGGGCAGTCCCTGCTTGGCACCCTGGGGCAGTCCCCACTGGGCACCCTGGGACAGTCCCTAATGGGCACCCTAGGGCAGTACCCACTGGACACCCTGGGGCCGTCCCACTGGGCACCCTGGGACAGTCCCCGCTGAGCACCCTGGGACAGTCCCTGCTGGGCATCCTGGGACAGTCCCCCGCTGAGCACCCTGGGGCAGTCCCCGCTGGGCACCCTGGGGCAGTCCCTGCTGGGCACCCTCGGACAGTCCCTGCTGGGCACCCTGGGTAGTCCCCTCTGGGCACCCTCGAAGACCAGAAGCTGCTTTGAGAGGAGACCCAAGACCATGGGGTGCCCAGGGATTGGTGGTGCTGCCCTTCGCCCTGTCTGGACCACGACAGGGAGGAGCCCTTTGACCGAATAAAGAGGGCTAGCAAGAACCAGTTGAAGGGCAGGTGCTCCTACCCCTTCCCATGAGGGACAGCCGGCCACTGAGCAAGCAGCTGAGGAGGCCCCCCGCCCCAGGTCTGGGCACTCACCACAGTCTTCTTCATCCTGGGAGGAAGCTGTGCACAGTGGCAGGTCGCCCACGGGCCAGGTACTCTATATATGCCCACAGGTTACGTAAGTGGCCAGACATCACCCAGCCCCTTGGCCTTGGCTCTTGGTAATGAGTGACCATCCGCCCTTCTCCTGGCCTCAGCAAGTTAATGTGTCAGCACAGGCACGGCCCCCGGCAGCCCTGGCCCCCTGGCTCTGACCTCAGCCTCCCCAGGCCCCGAGCACCTGCCCTGTCCAGGGATGTCCAAGGCCTTCTTGGCTTCCCCCATCTGCCGGTCTCTAAGCCCTCCATGTGTACAGCGGCTCCCTCCCACAGGTGGTGCCGGCTCCACCTCCCCCTCATCTGTCCCTAGGCACCTAGGATCTTGGGCAGGGCAGGGGCCCGTTAAAGGGAGAGTCATCCTGAGACCTGTGAGAAGGGCTGCCACAGGGAAGAAGGATGGGCCTGAGCTCCAGATGCGACAGACAGCAGGGCGGGTAGGCTTGTGGCGCAGAAGGAAGGTGGCCGGACTTGGAAGGGTCGGGCATTCTGGCTGGAGAGAGCAGGGCCGGAGGGAGGAGTGGGCCTGCTATCCAGGCGGTGTGATTTGCTGACGCCAGGCTAGGCAGACAGCAAAGGCAGCCCAGCGTCCCACCCAGAGGAGGGCTCAGAGGAGCCGGTCTAAAGTTTGGTCAGGAAGCAGGTTCCCTGTTGGGGCGGAGAATTCCACTCACACGAAGGGTTTCATATGTGACTGCAGGTTTCAAGTGTGGCCTGGTCTCAGTCTCGAGGGCATGGCAGGATCCAACAGACAAAATTGCTGGCTTAGAGCTTGGGCCAGGTTCCCCAACAGCTGGCAACAACTTTCATGAAGTTTTTCTTTTTTCAGTTGTCTGAGGGTGCACACTCTTGCCAGATGGGGCATGGTCATGCCACAATTCGTTTTTCTCTATCCCATCAGGATTTGAGGCACGTCCATGCCGTTGAAGCTGGGTCAGATTTGAGCTGTGGTTATCCACGTGGGAACCAGCTCCCTGTTGACAGGACTTTCCTGCCATATTAGGGGTCCGGGCCCCTGAAGACAAATGTTAACCTCTCCGTGAGAGGCACAGGTTCTTTTATGTTTGGCTCAGATGAGCTACTGAGTAAAAGGGTGTCTCCTCACTAATCAATCAGTTTGCAGCAGAACAGACATACGCCAGCGGGAAACGTACAAATGTACACATATACCTGAGAGAGTACTTATTTAATTTTATTTATAATTATTATTATCATGGTTTTTAATTTGACCAGAAAGAGACAGAGAAGAAAAGTGAGAAAACAAGTGACCAGGTCCAGGACTCACATCGTGACCAGCCATGTGGGAGTTCAGTGCCCCAACCACCATACCACCTGCCGGCCCCCTGTACAAATATGGATAGTCACCAGATTAAAAAGAAGTAAATAACAAGAGAAAGAAAAAAGGAAGGAAGGGATATAAGAGCACCTTTGTGCTAATTAACAAAACAAACTCTGGGGTCTCTCACTTTGGCCTGGAGATCAGCCCCTCCAAAATGGCCCTCAAACAGGCCTGAAATACCCCCAGTCGCTAGTGGAGGCAGCGTTTCCAGATGCGGTGGTCGTCTGGAGCAGATGTTCCCACAGAATCGACTCACTGCTTAAGATCGCTTCTCAGAGAGGAGTTTTAAGTACCCTTGTTTTTTTTGTTTGTTTGTTTTTGTTTTTTTTTTTTTGTAGAGGTTTTTGCTGTAGGGCACATGCGCTCACCAGACAAACAGAGACAGAGAGATAGAAAGCGAGAAATCACCCCCAAGGGGGGGATGGCCACGCCGCAATCCCTTCTCCTCCATTCTCTTGGGATCTTGGGTATGCACGCATATGCGCCCGGCGTGAGTTTTTAAGCCACCGGGTCAGGGACACGAACCGTGGTTGACTACATGGGAGTCCAGCGACATAGCCATTACGCTAACTGCTGGTCCCGGTACCCTTGTTTTGAGAGAGAGACTTTTGCTATAGGGTGTGTGTGCTTGCTAGAGAGAGGCAGAAAGCACGAAATCACCCCCCAGGGAGGATGGCCATTTTCCTCTATTCTCTCGAGACCTCGGGCACACATGCACACACACCTGGCATGAGTTTCAAGAGCCACCAGGTCCAAGACTTGAACCGTAGTCGACTACGTGGAAGTCCAATGACGTAACCATCATGCCATCTGGGGAGCAAGCCTGTTTGGGCCGCTGTCCTCTCACCCGGCCCCATGGCGTTCCTGCGCTGGGTAGGGAGCCTGCATGGCCTGTGGAACCCACCCTTGAGTCAGTGTGGGTCCTTTGTTAAATTCTCCAGAGGCTTTCTGTGCTCTCTGGGGAGAGAGAGAAAGGGAGAAAACCCTCCCCAAGGTGCCCTTATTTTATAGCCCTGAGAGGCAGGCTATCTTGGCTTTCAGGGTCCTGGAGTCAACTGGCTTAGGATGCACACGGGCACGGTAGGGACCAGCTCATCTGGGCACTGTTGGCAAGTTATGAGTGTGAGAGAGCGAGCACGCTCCCAACAGCAATGCTGTGACCACGGTCAGGGCCGTCAATGCCGGCAAGGTACTGCATGTCGTGGGAGCTTTTACGCTCCACCAGAATACAATCGAAAAGTACACTCTTAGAGAGGGGCAGACAGAGGGCAGCGGGTGAAGCAGAAGCGCGGGACACAGACTGGGACACCTCAAGTAGGTGAGAAGCCTTGCAGTCAGCCTGGTGTTCTACGAGCCCGTCCTGCAGCTCAGGCAGGGGCTCTAGTCCCCCAGGGCCACAGGGTGCAGGGCTATCACCCAGGAAGAGGGCGTGGGAGGGGCCTCTTCCAGGAACACCATGTGCCAAGGACGAACACATGCAGGCCCCTACGGTGTAAGGCTGGACTTTGGCCCAGGGCCCAAGAACCTGGGAGGGTCTTGGCGGTGCTGAGTGTGGAAACCGAGCTTCTGGCTCCAGCCTTTCTGCTGCCTGCGGGCTGGGCACCTCTGGCTCAGGGGCTGGCCACTCCCAAATCCCTGCCCCGGGAAAGCCCTGTCTGCTCCCTCAGACATGACCTAGGCTGCACTTCCTCCAGGCAGTGGGCCTGGTGCTCCCTGCCACACTCATCACCCTGTGGCCCACCTCCGTCCACTGAGCTTCTCGCAGGGCAGGAACCAGCCTGCACTGCTTCTACAGGGCCCAGTGGAGGGAAGGCGGTCCCTGAGCCGGAAGAGTAAGCACAAGGGTGAAAACCAAGATGGAAACTCAGGGGGCCCAGTGCTTGAGGGCAGGACTGTGGGCAGGCACATTTCTGACCTAGAGCTGGGGTAATAACAGGTGTCCTTCTCTCCGCCCTAGTGGCCAGGAGGGTGACATTGGCACACGCCATCTTTAGTGCTGTATGTTTGCTAGGTAACAGATATGGACCTTTCTGAGCCCCATTTTCTATTTATTTATTTTTAAATTTGCTATAGGGCGCATGTGCTTGCCAGAAGGAGACAGAGAGGGAACGTGAGGAAGTACCCCCTGGAGGGACAGGCACCCTGCAATCCCTTCTCCATTCTACCCTCAGGATCTGGGCACGCACACACACAGACATGTGTGCCTGGTGCCGGGTCCAGGACTCAAACTACACAGTTGGCCATGGGCAATCCAGTCACCTTAACCGCCAGACCACTGGCTGGCCTCTGAGCCTTGCTTTTGGCTGCACCTGGGCAGGGTACAGTATGTGCTGGCTGTGGTTCTTCTCTTCCTGTCCTTTGAAGCCGATTTTCTCTCCCCAGCTCTTGGCCATGTGCAGGGGAGAAGATCTGTTTGGGCCACTGTCCTCTCACCCGGCCCCGTGGGGTTCCTGAGCAGGGTAGGGAGCCTGCATGGCCTGTGGAACCCACCCTTGAGTGAGTGTGGGTCCTTTGTTAAATTTGCCAGAGGCTTTCTGTGCTCTCTGGGGAGAGAGAGAAAGGGGGAAAGCACTTCCCATGGAGCATGGTCACATTTTTTCTTCCTGTCTCTCCCTCCTTTCAGGGTTTTGGGCATGCGTGGATGCACATGGCTGGTATATTTCTTAAGCCAAGTCTGGGACTTGAACCGTGAAGTTGGTCACGTGGGATCCAGATGTCTTAACTACCAGGACAAGGGCTGGCCTGGGTGTTGGTCTTACTTAACTGACCTATTTGAGTCTTGCCCCTGACCCAGGCTTCTCTGCCCTGAGGGTAGGAAGGAGCACCTCCACTCTGTCCCCGAACAGCTGAGGGGGCTCCTGAGCCCCTACACCCCCTCCCTGTCTGCCCACAGGGAGTCGGGGTGGGGTCTCCATGGTGACCTTGGCCTGGGCTCCAGGGTTGGCTGGAGACTTGGAGGTCCCTTCATGACCCCCTCCCCCCCAGACGACTACATCCCAGTCCTGCCCCTAACGCTCAGGGAACAGGGAGGAAGAGGCCATGGACGCTGGTTTCAGCGGGGCCAGGACAGGCAAGCGGGACCTGAAGTAGAGAGGTCAGGGGTCCCGGCAGGGAGATGCCACGCCTGGCCCTCCCCCCACCCAGAGGCAGCCCTGAGTACTCAAGTCCCTGGCTTGCGCTGCTGTGGGCACTTCCCCTCCATGGCCCTCCTCGGTGCCCACACAGCCAACCCCCTCCGGCGCGCGGCGCCCATCCCGCAGTGTGCCGCCATCGTGCAGAGCCCTGCAGGGCGGTGGCTCCGGGAACTTCGAGGGACTGAGTTGGGCCTGGGATTGGGGTGGCCACATTCCACCCCACCTCAGCCGTAGCTGTGGGGGCTGCTGGGGTCCACGGGGGCCGAGGGCCGCCGGCCAGCAGGACCCACCAGC